GCACTTTTAAAAAAAACCTTTTTTTTTTTTTTTTTTTTTTTTAGCCTATATTGTTAACAACTGCATGGTTAATGCTATCTGTGGCCAGTATCTTTGCTTCTTTGCTTCCAACGAATACCATTTGAATATTTAAATCATTGAAATAACTCTTTGGCAAAATACTGGTATTTTGTGTTGTGAAAAAGATGTTTTCTTGACAAGTTTTTACACTGATACCTATGTTACATGAATGTACATACAAAATGAACTGTAAGCACAATTGGTGTGGCTAGTCCTACATAACCACAAAATATATTTGTAAATTTCGGCTCTCTACGATGAATATCCAGGTAACAACACCTAAACAATGCTTCCCTGGCAGAAATCTCCTTTAATCTCTGAGTGGTGCACCTTGTATTCTTACAATCCAAGGATATAGTAGAGCCTGCCTTTGATCTGTCATTTGATACAATCTCAGTGGAACCAATTGTGCCCTTTTCTGTTTGCACGTTTAAGAGAAAACTTATTAAATCTTATTAAATAAAAATCACTAGAGTTAAATATTAACTTCTTTAAAGTTGTAAGTTGTTTGTATTTTATTATATACTCTGTATGTGTAATTATTTTAGCCTAATTGTTATTTGTGCAAATTAACTGTCTTTATGGTGGTTCCATCTAGATCCCATTAACATTAATAATGTTTTAACCTGTGAATATAATGAGAACTTACTTCAAATTGCCCACAAATTCAAAGGTTAAAATATTGTTGTAAGGATTAGGAAAAAAATGGTAGAATACCCTAAAGCCCTAAACCACAGTCCTTATTCCATTATTTCACTTAATACGAGCATTGACTATGTCATCATCTATTATTCTGGCTTTCTTTCATTCATTGGATTCACTGCTCACCCCAATAGAAGGTAACAGGGTACCATCATTTTTCACCGGTTAATGTCACATTCTCGGCATTATCTTCCTTCATACCGACAACCAAAAGGCCCTAAAATCACAACTACTCAACTTGCTTTCCTAGTTTGCTGAGTCTCATTCTTTCTGTCACCACCAATCACATGTGCTCACTGGTGCATATGCTTTGCCCATCATTTCTGTGGACACTCGAGGAACTCATTTGTGCTGTATTTGAAACAGTATACTGAAAATTTTACTGATAATTTAAAACTATTTTTACATGATTGCTATTTAATTTTTCAGTAAAAATGGTCATTTTAATTTATTAAAGTCATTTGTCATTTTATATTAAAATGATACTGTAGGTATTTCTTCTACCCAATGTCAGATTACTTGTAAATATATAATAAAATTATTTGCATTAAACGATGTCTCTTTTTTTATTAAAATAGAACATATGTACATGTTATATCCTCTACATTTTTCCTTTACACAATATTATAATCACAAACATGGCTTTTACATTAACAACTTGGTTTTTGCTTTATCTCTTTGGGGCCCCAACTTACTGAAAATAGGTTCACTATTTTAGTGTTACAGTTTTACTTTTTCTTATCTTTTTTGTTTACTTTCCCATCTCTTCTTCCTTTATCCCCAAACTCCCATTTTGTATGTCTTCTTTCAAGCCTTAATATCCTCTTCTATCTTCTGAAAATGGTTCTTCTATAGCTTGTTGCCCCTTGTTGTATTGCTTCCTTTCAGATATCTCATTGTTTAATTCATTCACTCTGAGTAAGGTGAAACTTGGAGACTTGGCAACATCTTTGTATCCTGAGAGTGTTGGTCTTCTAATATCAATTGGTTCAAAGTCCTGGGTTCAATTATCACTAACACTTTCCATACTAGTAATTAAGCCAACCCCTAACTCCAGTGAAGCTATGTCTTGCAGTCTAGAGTCTAAATACATTTTCTTGTTTACTGTTTTTTTACCATATTTTTCCTAATTGGCTAGAACAAAACATGTTAGATAACTTACAAAATAAGGAGTAATGAGGTTTTTGTTTGCTCAAGTATAATAAATATATATATATATACATTATCTGTCCATTTTACTTGCTCTTCACAAGAAAAGAGAGAAAGAAAGGAAGGAAAAGTGACTGCAAAAGACTAATAGCAAAGTAACCTGGGTAAAGTGAAAGACAATGGCAAGCTCTGAAAACACCCTGATAATAACTTTTTTTTAATTTTTTTTTTTTGAGAGGTTTTCGCTATAGGATGCGTGTACTCACCAGACAGACAGAGAGGGACATAGAGACAGAAAGCGAGAAGTCACTCCTCAGGGGGATGGTCACGCCGCAATCCCTTCTCCTCCATTCTCCTCTCGGGATCTTGGGCACGCACGCACACGTGCCCGGCGTGAGTTTTAAGCCACCGTGTCTGGGACGTGAACTGCAGTCAACTACGTGGGAGTCCAGCGACATAGCCATTAGGCTAACTGCTGGTTCCCGATAATAACTTTTTACACAGTCTTTATTTAATAGCTAAGTATTCATTGTATGAATAGTATAACAGACTAATAAAATTTTATTTCCGGAGTTACCACTGTAGCATAATAGAAACTAAAAATGAAAGAATACATTCATAGCTGTTATATATGTTTTTAAAAAGGTTAAAATCAATTCATACAAAGCAGATGATCAAACTGCTATATAGATATAGTTAAATGTTATAAAGTTGTGTTGCAATTTGTGACATCAAATTTACTTCCATAGATAGTACAGGAGAAGAGTAAAACATAGGATTTTCCAAAACCACACACTTGGGTTAAAATGTTTTCATCATGAAGTTTTAATTTTTTGCTTCAGAACTGCATGCCAGTATACACACGTGTACTGAACATGGAAAGCAAATGAAAAACTCACAGGTCTTGACGTCAAAGCACATTCATGAAAGGCCTTTAAACAGTAGATGTCTCTGTGGTCCTCTGTGCCTAAACCTTGCTATTCCATATACAGGGTTCATCACAGAGCCATTGCTTCAGCAGCAATGCTACAAACTGCACTGTCATGTCCAAAGGCAGTGAGTTACTGTAAGCAGCCGGAATCCTGAGCTTGAGAAAAAAAAACAGGAATCCTGAGCTTGAGGTGAATTGCATCTTGCATCCAAAGATTCAATTAAAGACAGAAACACAGCTGCTTTCTAAACTTCTTGCCAAATCAGTACTATTAAGTTTGGGTTATTCACAAAATAAGTAAAATCCAATTATTTAAAATATTCTGTCAATTGTATATAAGCTGAAGAGGTTCTTATCAGTATCAGTTAATGGAATATAATAGTCTTAGACTATACAATGAAATTTTTCTGAATCTAGAGCCAAAATTTGCGCAGACTGATTCAAATAGTAACTTATCAATAAAGTCGTTGTGCATAATGTATCATGCACTTAAAGTACATATAGAAGTTTATGTTCTAAGCAAGTAAGTTTAAAATGAAGTCTTATCTATAGAAAACAATTAACTGGTAATGATTAAATTTCCTCTTACCAAATGTACATATATTTAACTCATACAATAGTTATAGAAATGATTACTAGGATTCTTCTAAGAACAAAAAAAGACAATTGCATAATAAGACAATGATGAAATTAATCAACACTGAAGTTTAGCATATGCCCCTTAATCTCTCTTCTCCCTTCTCTTATCTAGCCACTGTTGATGGGGCTAAGTAATGATTTGGACAAAAGGTCCAAATCAAAGGGAAATGAATGAGCAAGGAGGAGTAGATCATTCACAAATAGATTAATTAAATTTGGAATCATCAAAAGTCAGCTCCAACATCAACTCAACACTTTTGATATTCTCTATCTTTTTATTTCTGCCATTGTAGCATTGTAATAAAAGTGTTTTAAATTGTTTGATATTATGAAATAATGATTGAAAAAATTCTGAAATGTAATCCTAACAATGGTAATTCATTTTATTTATGGTCTTCCCAAAAGTTATCATATTTCTTCCATGGACTATTTTTTATGTAACAATAATTTTTATCATGATTAGGTTCATAAGCCTATAATGAAATATAATTTAACATCATTAGAGTTGGCCTTAGATATTACTTAAGATTGCACATGATCATGATAATATTAGTATAGTATTTACAGTGAACACATTTAGTGTGCTGCCTAGCTATAAAATTTTTTATGTAGAAAAATAAAATAGTGGTGTATCTTGTGTAATTTCCAATTAAAAAAGTATTATAAATAGGGCAGCAACTATGTAATTTAATGTAAAGGACTTTATCAAGTTTCTCTAATGATTACTGCTAATCTGACCATTTAATATGATATGCTTTAGGTACTAAAATGAGAATTGCTGGAATTCACACAAAGTATGAGACAAAACTACTTAAAAGAAAATAATACATTTACCAGTATTTAAGTATGGTATTTAAACTTCACTGTAGACATTTTTCTAATAATGTTTTAATTATTATGTATAAGATCAGTAGGAAATATTAAAAGGGACTCAGGTGTGGTAGTGCATACTGAACCCTGCTGCTTGACAGACTGAGGCCATGTGGGAAGTCCCAGTTAGATTCTCAGCCCACTCAAAAGACCCAGGTACAGTGGTATTCCCCTGTGGTCCCAGCTGCTAGGGAACTGATGCAGGAGGATCAAGACACACAGCCAGATTCTATTTGAAACATTCATTCATGCACACACAACACAAAAAAGCAAATAGTAATTTTTTTACAACAGTATATTGGAAGGGATTTTAAGAAACTATTTTGCTGCTAAGAGCAATTTTAACTTACATAATCTTATTTCTCCAATAGTGTTTCACTGAAAATCACATTTTATAAAAGCATATATATAGCATATACATCATAATCATGCTATTTTCTAAAATCTCTGCACATTAATTTGACAACTTTTGGAGTGACAGATCAGATTTAAAGAAAGATACAACTGGGAACCAGCAGTTAGCGTAATGGCTATGTCACTGGATTCCCACGTAGTCTACCGCAGTTCGCGTCCCGGACCTGGTGGCTTAGAACTCACGCCGAGAGTGTGTGCGTGCATGCCCAAGATCCCAAGAGGAGAATGGAAGAGAAGGGATTGCGGCGTGACCATCCCCCCTGGGGGGTGATTTCTTGCTTTCTGTCTCTATGTCTCTCTCTGTCTGTCTG